GCTTCGACTCCTGACTATAGGCAAGTATTAATCGTGCAATGTGATCCTGTTTCCCTACTATTCATGATACACTACTAGTAATCCTAACACATACACCATACGCAGACATATTGCCGGACTATCTTCCTAGGCAATCACTTGTTACATAATTATTACTCTCCCCTAAGGGCTCGCCGAGCACACTGGAGTTTGCTATCGATATTTTCCACACGCTTTTATCCACAATATTATTTAACAACATTGCTTATATGAGTAAACATGACTTACTTGACATAGAAGAATGCAGGCCAACTTCCAGCGCTCATAAGACCAATATTGAATAGCGCCTCTGGCTGACAACTGAATATTATGTGTTAGATCAGATCCCTAAGTCTCCAAAATTCGGCAATTTATATTATTAACTTGCTGAATCAGCTGTTAACGAGAGAGGGAGGTTAACTCCCCTTTTTATTCTCAATTCCCAAAGTTATATTCTAATTAGTTATTCCCTGGGGTTGTGGGCGGGCCCATGGTGTCTCATCGCTGTGTATTGAATAATATTACCATCTCCAGTGGCCGAGTTAGCAGAGCTTCTTACTTATGTGATTACGCATAAATGCTGATCATCAACATTCTTAACCTAGTTGCCTGTCCAGGTGTCGACATACTAATGTAATGGCTGTGAAACACTTTTCACAAGTCTCAAAACTTTAAGGCAATGCCTTAATTTCCAATCTCAAAATTGGTCCGCAACAGTCTGTGATTTATTTGCACTTATCAAGGCATACAGAGCAAAGTTGATACTTCTGGAAAGCCAAGTGAAAAATTGTAACTTTGTTCATATGCTATACTGAGCAGAGCTGCATAAAAAGGGTGAAGCTGAATTTCCTTCCCCGTTTGCAAATTTAGTCATTTCAGATTTGAAAGAACAATTTCGGAAGCGATTTGCTGATTTGGATGCCAATGCTCAGGAAATGAAATTGTTTCAAAATCTGTTTGACTGTGATGCTGCAGATGTCCCAAGTCAAATTCAAATGGAAATTATTGAACTTCAGGAAAATTATCATATTGAAGGCAAATACAAGGAAGGAAATTTGATTGAATTTTATAAATTCCTGAACTCAGCAATTTCCAAATTTGAAGAAATTTTCTTGTAAATTTATCTCCATTTTGGGACGACATATCTGTGTGAACAAACTTTTTCCCAGCTGGAGTACATCAAGTCGAAATACAGGGCAAATTTATCCAATGAACATTTAAAGTCGCTAGTTGTGATTAGCGTTTCAAAATTTGAACCTCAATTTAATCAGATTTAAAGAATGCAAAAAGAGTTCCATCATTCACATTAATTGTTTTATTATAATTTGTGATGAAAATATGAGCAGTTGCTGCTACTGTCTGTTGTCATTAATATACGATAATTTATTCCCACGTACTTTGTACTTAGTTTATGAAATTCTGTGCTTTCAATAAAACTCATATACCTAGAGTTATTAATTTTTCATTTTATCCAGCCCGTTGAAAGTGCTGAATTACCTAATGTGGCCCGTGTTTCGAAAAGTTTGGAGACCCCTGCTCTAGACTTGTATGTGGGAGATGCTCAGTTCAAAATTCAGGGACACCACTTCTCCCAACTGAGGGTTTCTCCTCCCAGAAGACTTTTACGATGCTGTTCACTGGAATGAGAGGTGCTTGTGTCTCATGGTGTTGGTTTTGTACTGCTTGACTGTAGAAGGTCTGTAAGGAATGAATGTGGAGGGAAGTGTTTGTGGTCTAATTCATGCTAAATCACAACACATTTCTGAAGATACCCTGAGGAAAATGTTAGGATGAATGGCTTCTTGGTCAGCCGGAGTTCTGAATCCACAGGCATTTGTTTCAGTGCTGGGTAGCTGCAACTGTGGAGGTCTTCTTCACATGGGGGCTGCTTGGAGCGACAGCCATGCAGATCACGTCTCACAACAGACACAGGCATCTCCTGAACCGTGACACCAGCCTTGTTGTTGTGCTGACTGTAGCCGTGCTCTTGCTCGCAGCATTCCTCGCCAACACCTGCGTTGCCATATTGCACAGCCATGGCTTTACGTACATCCCTAGTTCCTTCGGTAAGTCCCACATGCATTGATGTCATGCCGTTTACTTGACCCCCAACATACTACACTTTACTATTGGCAGATGAGAGATATATCCATATTACCAATAGAAATTGCTTGTAAAAAGGTCATATTAATTCTGTCTGTATGTGCAATGTGCTGGTGGCCCATGTACGAATGCTACTCATCTCTTTGCAGTGTAGTCTGAACAAGGGCTTAAACGTTAATGCTTCTGGCTTGTACTTGAGAGTTGCTAGAATCTCAGCCAGGAGAATGGCTGTCCTGAGTGAGGGTTTTCATGGTTTTTCTCAGTCCCTCCAGGCATATAAGGAGATAGTAACTGCAAGTAGGCCATCATCGATTCCTTCTACATCCTTCTCAATCTATTTTTGATTGCTTGCCCTGTTGTTTGACACTATATAGTCTTGCGTACTGACAGAAATGTTAAATAAATAAAATGAAAGGGGAGCTGAAGAGTCAGCTTCATGTTCCAGCCACTTTGTCCCTGGGGAATGTGTTTCCAGTACCCACTGGAGTCTTGGGCAACAGCAGGGAGAGGCTCCCCTCCCCCCCACAATCCGTGAATAAATCAAAGTTGAAAAAGGAGATAATAAATATTAATATAAATAATTAAAAATATTTGTGAAGAAATCATTCATCTATCCTACTTAGCAGCACACATGGTTGAAGTGTGAGCCGGGTTGGCCAGTAGCTCAACTACAGTCATTCATCTAGAAGCATATCAGTTCACATTCAGTGTTAAATAAATTCTGCAGCTGACAGAACATAGTTAAATAACTGGAACCAGTCAGGAAAGCATGATATTCTTTATTTTAACCCCCAGAACCCTAAAATATTCCTCACAAACACGAGTCATAAGTCTCTGGGTTCTAGAGCACATCTCAACATATGGGTTCCTGCAGCCGGAGTCAGAGCCACTGCCACCAGCACTGGCCAGCACGCCCGTCCGCTACATGACCCACACAGTGCTAATTGCCGGCAGCAGAGTCACCGTGCCTGGAATTGACTCTCGCCAGCAGAGCGGGTACCAAGTTCTACGACTTGCAACAGAACTGGTGCCATCCACTCTGGCACTGCTTGGTGCAGATGGCATATCACCCTTCTGGGCTGTTCTCTTTTACTTTGTCCTCATTTTGTTTGGCATCGCACAGCAGGTGTGTATTATTGCTAGAATCTTGTGTACTGTCTGACTGTTAAACTGATAGTATGCTGGCTTTTAGTTCCCATGGTCAGCAGCAGATCTGATGATCCCTCCATAAAGCTGTATTGTCTAGCAAATTATTACCATTGCTTTGGGGAACCTTATGCAGTCATATTCAGGATAGAAGAATAAGTTAGTGATCAGTCCTGGTTCACACTTTCCCTTTGTTCGCGCCCAGCTTACTCTTCTACCCTGAAGGTGGAGGTGTCAGGTTTGTTATAATGTACCAGTCTACATGGTATCATACCCCACAAGACTTTGATTTTCACAGTCACTGTCATGGGGATCTCGAATGTCACATGATTGACTGTTAACTACTGCCAGTTTTTGACTAATGTAATATGAAAGTACTTGTGTAGTGGTGGGTGTTACTACCAATGGTGTTGGTACTAGTTTCAGTTCATTGTCTGGAAGGCACCTGACTTTTTGTCCTTTGAATTTTAAAGGCCCCTTTTTCATGATAATTTGTGGCATGTCTTGGCAAACCATTGATTTGTCATATGCCTGCATGGAAACAGCTTCATTTAGATTAGTGATATGTTAAGATACAGAACAAAAGGAGGCATACCACAGACAGCTGTGGAAAAGGGGCTAATTCATATTCAACTGCATTAAGCATTGTGAGGACATATTTGCAGCTGTGTATCTGGCACTGTGTCATCACAGGCATCATGGCTATCAACACTGCTGCCCTCAAATCCTGGGAGACCACAATCACTTTCTTCAGTTGCGTCTGTGGCTTCATTCTTGGCCTCCCCATGACGACAGAGGTGAGGATGTGTGTCTCATGGTGATTAGATGGGATTTACCCAGTTAAACTTTATGTTTGTCCCATTAACATTCAAAGGCTGTACTTTTTGCCAACAGGGTACATTTATGTGTGTCCTGTATTCTGAGAATAAACATTAATTATTTTCCTAAACAGCATTAACAGATCAGGCTCTGTAATGTAGATGCAGTGTTCTTTCTGTGAGGTAGGAACTGAAGTTTTAAATATTATTTATAAGAATTTCAGGCATAAAAGGGTAAAATAAGGGAAATGAATTATCACTAAGCAATGACGATAAATAGTGCCACTTCTGCATTGTAAGCGGAAGATTAATGTGGATTTCCCTGTCATTAGCTAGAATAAAATCTTGCAAGCTACAAGACAAACATAATGCTACCTGCTCTTTTAATATGTGACACATGAGAACTACACCACACAGTTCAACAGAAATCTCATAGATAGAAGCTGTACTCATGCCTTCATGAGACTGCACAAAGCTGAAAATGGTACCTGAGGTATTTTGGAAATTACTGCATCCCTTCATAAAGTGTTTGAAGATGACTCCATACATGACAGTGAAGTAAATACATTTTACAGATGTTACTGCTGTTGTATTCTTCATATATTCTGTTCTGAACGAAATCATCTAATTTAATATACTGTAGTGTGTAGACCCATTGCTAGGTAGCAACCACAAAACATGCAGGTTCCCACAGTAATGAGTTCATGCGCAACAATAAAGGAAATGGTGCATTCTACACAGTCTGTGCTGACATGTTATAACCGAGACTTGTTAGAAGTTAGAGAGTTGTGATGGGCTTGGTGAAGAGAAGACTTAGCCGGAGCAGTTGAGAGCCAGCGGGCAATGAAGTGACTGGAGAAGCTGAAGAATCTCCACTGATAGAAGCCATTACCACGGAGTGACTGGTGAGGACACAGCAGACTGAAAAGACTTAGCATGTGTAAAGTGTGGAGATCAAGGATGGCGCTGTAATTAAGCGTAGTCACAAATCATGTGTCGAAGTGGTGAATAAATCCAATCTCCAATCCAAACCTTATATATAGTCACACCCTAACATGTAACAATACAATTTACTCAATATAGGACTGCTCTTGACTTGACTTAACCCAATTCCTTTAGTTCCTAGTGGAACACAGGGCTCCTGTGAAGCTTCTCCATCTTTTCTTCTCGTTTGCCAGTGCCTTAACCTCTCTCCAGGTCTTTCCTGTCTCTGTTATTTCCTCTTCTGTTGTCCTTCTCCAAGTTTTTCTTGATCGCCCTCACCTTCTAGCACCTTGCGGGTTCCAGTCTAATGCATCTTTTTCTATGGCACCAGCTGGTTTCCTTGAAGGGTGCCCGATCCATCTCCATTTTATCTAATTTGGATATCAAATGGTTCTTGTTTTGTGATCTCCCACAGAGAATCATTTGATATGGTGTCTGGCCATCTCTGTTTAAAATGCACCTTAAACACCTATTTGCAAATCTTTATAGTTTGTTCGTACTTGTTTTTAATACTTTCCATGTTTCACAGGCATAAAAGAGAATTGATTTTACATTAATATTAAAAATCTGTAATTTAGTTTTCTTTGATAGATTTTTGTTCTTCCATACCTGATATAATTGTATAAAAGCTATATTTGCTTTTCTTATTGTTTTTTTTTTATGTCTTGATCTGTTCCTCCATTTTGTGTTACTATGCTTCCCAGATATATAAAGCTCTCTACTGGTTCAATTTCTTTATTAGCGATGGATAGTTCCTCTTCTATTTGGGCACTTATTCTCATTTCTTTATTTTTATTTACACTGATATTTAGCCCAGCTAGCTTTGCTTTCTGTTGCAGTCTTATTAATTTGTCCTTCATATCAATATGTCTCTGTGACAATAAACGTATATCATCAGCAAAATCGAGATCCTCCAACTTATCTTTCATCCCCTACTGTATTCCTGTCTCACAATGTTTTTCTCATCACATTATCCAGTACAAGCAAGCATATGACTGGAGATAAAATGCAGCCCTGTCTTACACCATTTGTAATCTCAGTGTAGTCTGTAAGTTTCCCTTCGTGTAGAATCCTGCATTTAAAATCATCATACATACACCATATTAAACTTGAAAACTTCTGTGACATTCCATATTCTGTCAGTGTTTGCCACATGATTCTTCTATTCATTGAATCAAATACTCTTTCAAAATCTATGAAGGTCATATATAATGTACATAGTTTGATATTCATTGCTTTGTTCTAGGATAATTCTCAGTGTATTAATTAAGTCAACACAACTACGTTGATGACGAAATCCAACCCATTCTTTACGAAAGCATAGTTCAACTATGTTCTTAATTCTATATAACAGTATCCCAGAAAGCAGTTTACTTGGAATACTCGGCAATATTATTCCTCTCCAGTTATTGCATTTTCTGGGTATTTTGATTATAAGACCTTTCCAATCTGTTGGAAATTTCTTTTTTTTTTTCATATTTCAGTTAGTAGAGGGTATAGCAGATTTACTGTGATTTCAATGTCCAATTTTAACATTTCTGGGCATATATTGTCCATTCCTGGTGCCTTGCCAGCTTTTGTCTTCCTTAATGCCCCTTTAATCTCTGAGCATGTAGGGGAATGTAGTTTTATTCTTATATCTTTATTTGTATCTTAATTTTCATATTCTTCTGTCTCTTCTTCAGTGCTTTGTGTCTTTTTATCTTTATTTTCGTTCAATATTCCGGAGAAATGTTCTTCCCATCTTTAGTTGTTGTTCCTGTGTTACAAGGAGTTCCCCTTTGTCATCTTTAATTGGTTTGTTCTTTTAAATCTCTTCCTGATAGTGGTAGTATAGTTGGTTGAGACACTATGCTAAAAGCCGGAAGGTCACAGGATCGAATCCCGATGAGGTCATTGGATTTTTTTCAATTGACCTAATCCTTCCAGCCGCACTATGCCCCTGAGGTTGACGCAGCCTCTAACAGAAATGAGTATCAGGAATATTCTTTGAATGTTCTTGAGGGTAAAGGTACATAAGGCTGAAAACCTTACCACCATCTATGAGCCGATTGTCTAGACAGTGTGGGAACCTCAGCATCTCACAACACTATGGGCCTCCATGGCCTGTTACAGGGATACCTTTACTTTACTTTTTCCTGATAGTGTTCTAGTAATGTCATATAGTTGTTTTGTGTCACCTTGTCTTTCTGCTTCTTCTGCTCTTTGAGCCTGTTCATCTGTCCACCTTCTTTTGTCTCTCGTTACTCCTTTCTTAATTTCTCTGTCGATTTCTGAATATTTCACTTGTGTAATTGAATTTTGTAGTCAAGTTTTACACTGGTTAACTTGGCTTTGAGGTTTTTCCTCTTTTCAATTGCTTCCCAAGTTTTTTCTGACATCCAGTCCTTTTCCAGTTTATTTTTAAAACCAATATTTTTTTTTGCTGGTTTCTAGAAAAATGCCCTTAATTTCTCTTCATTTCTTTTCAATGTCTATTTCTGTATCTGGGGGTTCTTGGAGCATATCAAACCTATTCTTCACTTCTAATTTAAATTCTTCTATTTTTTTTCCTTATTTCTGAGCTTTTGTATATCAAACTTCTTATTTTGGACTTGAAATTTCTTTTCAGCTTTCTTTATTTTGAATTTGAAATGAGCCATTATTAGGTGGTGATCACTTGCTATACCTGCCCCTCGTTTATTTCACTCATATGTCAAGGGTCTTCTAATTTTCCTTTCTATTGCAATATGATCTGTTTGGTTTTCTGTTCTGTGGTCTGGAGAGACCCATGTAACTTTATGACATTTCTGGTGTGGGAAGACTGTTCTGCCAATAACTAATTCATAGTTTGCACAAAGATCAATTAGTCTTTCTCCATTTTTGTTGGTGTTACCTATTCCATGTCTTCAAGTGACATGCTCCAATCCTTCATTTTCTGGTCCTGTTTCAGCATTTGTATCACCCATCAATATTTTGATGTTGCTCCTTTTTTACCTTCTTCAGTGTTTCATTTAGCAATTGGTAAAGTCATCTTTCTTTTCCATTTCTGCTGTCTCTGTTGCGACATAACACTATATATGGAAGTAACGATCTTCAACCATCTGCCAACTGAAATTAAGTCTATGTTTAATGACACGCAAAGTTCTAAACCTAAGTTTACAACATTCTTATTACAGAATTCCCTTTATACCAATGAGGAATTTTTTTAATTGAAACATGACTATAAATAGGATTAAAACAATAAGATTTTATAATTAAGCCATGTATTATGATGATAAGAGTGATATATGTGGCCTATTGTACATGTGCATGTTTTATATTTTGTACATAAATGATTGTTATTATGAAATGGATGTACAGTCGGATTTACATTGTATGATCAATAGTGTTACCTTGCATAGTGAGTGGTACATTATATGTGGCCTATCATAGACGCATATGTATGTTTTATACTTTGTGATATCCAGTGGGATATATTGTATGATTAAATATCTTATTATTATTTTGTTATCTAGTATAAATGATGATGGACTCTATATCTATGTACATGGATCTCTGGAAGACACATTAAATATGAACATGAATGGTTATGTTGCAGATAAGACTTCTAAGACTTGCTGTCATTATTCTCTCTGAAATAGGTTCCCACTCTATTAAGCTCCTTGCTGTTTTACTACGGAGTAATTCTACTCCATTTTTGTGTTCTACATCGTCCCCACCTGGCCCTGAGTATAAAAGGACGTTTATAGGATTGCTCAATTATACTTGTGTGTTGTGTGAGATGGTTGCTTTCTGAATAGTAAATACGTTTTTATGCTCTTCATGTGATGAGCCATTAGGAAATGAAAATTAGGAAAGCATCATTGAACATATTTGTCTGAAGGTGATGCTCTAGAACTATATCCTGGAGATGCTCAGCTTCGATCTTGGCTGGGACAATGGCTATCCTGACACAAGTTTCTCATCATTTTCCCCAGTCCCTCCATGCAAATGTCAGGCTGGTACCTTAATTAGGCCACGAATACTTCCCACCCAACAGGTCAGTTGCGTGGGGCTATATAGTCTGGCTACCGGCAGCATCAGCAAAAGAGTAGGGAAGGGGGGTGCAGGTTACAATTTTGTGTACTCCATTATGAAATACCCTTGTATTAGTAGCATTTATGCTGCTCATTTTTGGTGATTTCTCCTCAGATGGTCTAAGTGTCAACTTTCTCTTGCAGCTGGGGATATTCGTTGTGCACTTCCTGGACTACGCCATTGGCAGCTCCTGGTGGCTCATGGTGCTGTACCTGATCGAGATTTTGGTCGTGTTTGTGGTACGCGGTCGGCCATACAGCGGTGAGACTGTGGTGGCAACTCTGTTCAGTCGCAGTGCTGGGTGTCTGCATGCTTGGGCCGCACCACTGCTCGTCTTCACCTGGAATGTCATTCTTCCTATCGCCCTTGTGGTAAGATGTTGTACTAGTAGAGACATGACCAATGTGAGCCTCTGAGGCGTTGAGTGAAAATGTTGCCTGTCATTCTGGCAGGTGGTCTGCATCATGGTGTTCAAGAATGGGCGGTTCCGGGACTTGTACAGTTGGCGCAGCCTCACTTACAACTACTGGCCTGTGTGGACACGTGAGGTGGGATGCATGCTACAAATTCTGCCCATCTTACTTGTTCCATTGGGTTGCATCGTGCAGACTTGCCGATACCTGTCCAGTGGGCCTCCTGACATCTTGGATGTAAGTGGTGAGACTTAGCAGCCTTCATTTTGTGCTTCTCATTCTGCAGTTTTCATCCATTTTTCTGTTCTTGGTTCATTCCTCTCTCTCTTTTTTATTCTTCCTTTTCCTTTCTTTGCTTCTCTTTTGTCATTTGTCTCTCTTCTCCTCTTCCCATGCTGCCTCTTAGCCTCCCAGTTACACTTCTCATAAGTGAAGTTAGCTCACAGCATTCTGCAGAATCTCTTTAATATGTCTTTGTTTCTCTCTGTGTCCGTGTTTGCATTCCCCAGCCTGTGCATGTCTGCCTGTGAGTACGTATGAATCAGTATGAGAAGTTATGACAGTTTCAGTTGTTTCTGTCCCTTATTCTTGACCATTTGATGCTATATAAACCTTAAATTATGTTAATATTAAATCCCCTACAGTTGATACATAAATAACCCATGTCCAATGCTAAATACTGAGCAAGATGAGCATAATAAATTGGCACACATGCATAGCATGGAAAGGGTTAAATGATGTTCAGATATTAGGGGAAACAGGATAAATACTGAGGAAAGAAAACAAATTGCATCGCTAGTGCTAAGTAGCCCTGTGCCATCTAATTGGTTCATCCAGTCAGTGAAATCCTGTAGCATGATAATTACCACACAGTTCACACTGCACTACTAATTCCTTTGCAAGAAAACAAGTGAATCAGCTGTGTGCACCCATTAAAGATACGTAACGTTTCTCGATGATGCCATATGCAGTAGTGGTGGAGTTACCATGTAACTCTGCATTTCATAACAGAAGTGATGCTTGTATCTGTCACTTGATCCACAGAACTGGGCATGACTCAGTCTGCCATCTTTATTTTCTAATGAAAGACAAGCTGCTGGTATCATGTCCTTCCTCAATAAACAACGTGGCGGCCTTACTGTCTTCTGAAGTGTGACATTAAGGCTACTTTTTTTTTTGTTGCTAGTGGAGTGGGACTGAGTCCCTTGTACTGCGGCCACTTCTGGGCTATTGCACCAGCCCCGGACGTGAGTGTGGAGCAATTGGTGGAATGAAGATTGGCAGGGGAAACCAAAGTACTTGGAGAAAACCTGCCCCAGCGCCACTTTGTCCACCACAAATCCCATTTGGCCAGACCTGGGATCAATTAAGGCTACTTAATGTAAGGTCTTGAAATATGTAAATTATAAAACAACATGGTACTGGCATGAAATCTGTAGTATCCCTGACTGTGATGGTAATCACAAAAAGAACAGGGAATTAAAGTTATGAGCCATGGAGATTCAGAAGGATGCTCAGCCACAGAATTCAAACAAACAGAAACAGTCATGCTTGAAATGTTATGGGAGGTATTCTTTGAATGTTGTCATTCACAAATGTGGCAGCAGTGCAAAGCTTTGGGTAATTTGCTCACATTGAATACAGTTAGAATCTGTCCTAGTTGTTATTAAGAAATGGAGATTGTAAATTGAATAGTTATAACTACGTACATGTGTGTTGCAATTGATGACATACAGACTGAAGGATTTCACAGAATGTGGGCAACATAGGTTCTTCCCAGAACTTTTGTCATATTCCCCCTGTGAGTGGTGAGTCATCACTTGCGAATGGTTATGAATTTCCTATTCATCTTCAGCGCATCCAGCTGCTGTATCGGCCATCCATGACCCGTCAAGACATGACAGAGACCCCAAACTGTCCCACAAACTCAGCCACTTCAGTACCGGCAGTGACAACTACCACCGCTGTCACTCCTACACCAGAAGCCACCGTGTCAGCATTTGAGGACCCTCCACCGAAGTATACGCCACCCCCATCATACACTACAGCCACTGGAGCAAGGTACAGAGTTTCACAGGTAGACTAAGAGATGACCTCAGCCCACCCTAGCATAATCAGCACAATCCTAGCCTTCCCTAGAATAGCTATCCTACAATAAGTTTCAAATGTTTCAGAGGAAGGTACCACCTCCACCTTCCAGTTAGGCTCTGTATAGCAATGGTGCCTCTATTCATGGTCTGTGAGGTATGCTCACATCTTGACGTATTGTCTATGAGGGTTTCACTTATTAGTGCCATCGTAGTCTCCCAGACAGATGGCCGATCTGTAACGAAGCCATCAAGCAGTGTATATTCCAGACATTCCGAGTTGACTGGGATTGGGAGTGGCTCTCACATATGCAGCGCATTCATGGTTTTGAGAGATAAATGTACTGAAAACTGTCTTGTTTCAGGATTGCCAAACTTTTACGGCAGAGTTTCCGTCGAAGCATGCGTCGTCTGGCAAGTGCACTGGGAGACAACAGTACCCTGCCCCCTCCACCTGACTACAGTGCAGTCCTTGTGGAGATGAATAGGACAATACAGGAACATGATGAACAGTTGCCAGAGCCGTCTTCTGCCCTTTCGGCGCACATGTCCACAATGACTGCAGCTAACGTAGCACATATCCTTAGGAGCAGCCTTCGACGTTCTGCCCCACACAACAGGGACATCGAAGGCTTGGTGGACAGAGCTGCCCCTGTTCATCATGATATGATGGTCCCCTCCATAAGACCAGAGACAGACTCAAAACCTGAAGCTGAGAGCACATCTGTGATATGAATTGTTTGGCATCACTGCTGATCCAATATCCATCCATCTTGTTCCCACTGCATCGAATATTTTTGTAAAATAGCTTCTCACATGGTATGTGGATGCACAATAATACATATTATGGACAATCTTTGAGGCCTCTATTTTTAAGGCCAAGAATATAACTAAAGTAAAGTTTTCCCTCTGCTTAATTCAGCAACATGTCATGAAGGCATATGGGGTCACAGAGGTACAGCTTTACGATGTTCACACAACTGCATGCACTGGCTTCTTTCCACCAAGGGAAGGATGTCTGTATACTGATTCGACAGGAGGCTGGGTGGGTGAGCCTCAGAGCCAGTCTGGATGCAGAAACAGAAAAATATCCACTTTGGGAATTGTAGCTCAGTCATCCAACCCATTAGCCCCATACTGCAAAAAATAAAGTTTATTTCATGCATGAAATTAAATGTTGCATTCTTACAGTATTCATTTATAAAAAGAATACAGATAATAAAGAATAAAGATACAGAGTGAGTAAATTCCATTCCGTCCAAGTATGGGTCTGCTGTGTTAGAAAGGGACATGCAGATCTCACAGATGGCCTTTTTGTTAATGTACTTCACATCGAGACATCACAACGAACCATACCAAAGCGTACTATTTAAGTGTGTTTGTACCATGTTTGTGTGTGTGTGTGTGTGTGTATGCAAAAGGCAATAAAAGAATATCAAATCAAATGCTACATTTTCAAACTGAACGTAACCTCACTAAATGCAGTCCGGTCAGATTCCAGAACAGTTGTCTGATATTACTGCAAACGAACTCCATGGATCAGAATCACTCTTCAGAAGCTTAAGGCTTCCATCTCGTTAAAGAATTCCTCATATTTTATTTAACCTGAAGGCTCATTACCATGCATGCAACTTGCACTGCCCACCTCATCCTCATCCTTTTGATTATAATTATAAAATGCTGTTACAATTTTTAAACTTTGTAAAAACCATTGATTGTGGGTGCTACATTCAGACAGCTCACTGTTCTCTCCCATTTCTTTATCCCTTCAACAGGATATCCAGAACTCATGCAGTTTTGTCCATTCCTCACCCACTACACATTATTCACTTGAGACAAGAGACCATTTGAAAGAGGAAATAAATGATTGTTTTGACTGTTATCTGCATGAAAAGTTCTTAACCAAACCATGATGAGGGCTGACACCCTCCTTACTCCCAAAGACTAACATTAGGCATGGATAACAATTCTTTAACTATGGAGAGAAAAACCTACTGTCAGATCTTCCAGAGGTCTGAACATGGGCCTCCTGTCTCCATTACCTGCATATCTCCAATATCGGTATCAGAAGGTGAAAGTTCGAAATGGATCTAATGATAAAAGTGAATCTGACTGGGGTCTGGTCAAACAGGGCGTTCCTCAAGGGTCCATTCTGGGACCTTTACTGTTTTTACTATACATTAATGACCTATCCATATTTATTAAATATATGAATGCCAATGCAAATCCCCAAACAATTTTATTTGCCGATGATACTAGTGTAATCGTCAGTAATCAAAACAATACAGTATTGGCCAGTAACCTGAAATCAGTCTTTAATAGTGTGGCGAAGTGGTTTAAGGCAAATTTACTCTTGTTAAATGTGGATAAAACTTATTGTATGGAATTCGGCCTTAAACATGCAAACAACTTTGAAACTCAAGTCACATACAACAATAAAATTATTCCCTTTACTACTGAATTAAAGTTGGTTAGTATTACATAATAATATGTCTTGGAAGTCTCATATTGACAATTTGGCTGTTAAACTCACTAAAGCTTGTTATGGTGCGAGAGTGATTAGACCTTTTGTATCATTGAACTCCCTTAAGATGATTTATCATGCATATTTTCATTCAGTTATGTCATACGGATTGATGTTTTGGGGGACCTCTTCACATAGCTCAATTATTTTTAAACTTCAAAAGTGAATGGTTAGAATACTAATGAAGGCTAGACCTAGGGATTCCTGCAGAAAATTCTTTAAAATATTAAATATATTACCTCTGGCCTCACAGTACATATTCTTCTTGGCTCTGTTTGTGATTGCAAAGAAAACTTGGTTCAGACAAAATTCTGAAATTCATAGTTTCAATACTAGGAATAATCCCAATTTTTTTCCAACAAACGACTCATCTAACAATGTTTCATAAAAGTCCTGCTTATGCAGGTGTCAAGATTTATAATCATCTTCCAGATAATATTAAGGTATTGGCTTGTGACATTGAAAGTTTTAAGAGAGCATTAAAAAAATATTTATATGAGCATTCTTTTTATACGGTTGATGAGTTCTTCAAGTATAAAACTAGATAGCCACCTAGTGTAACCGCTCCACTGTCACTAATTTAAGTATAATTAGAATAATCAGTAATAAAAATTAAGTGCAGGTAACAAGTAATACCAAAGCCATTGGGACATAGTCACATTCTTGTTTTCAGGAATGGACTTATTCCAAATCTTGATGTTACACAGGAAACACCCCCTGTGGCTTTTTCTGAGAAATTTTGTTTGTGAGTAGCAGGGCGGCAAACTTTGAGAATTCGATCATTGACAGGTCCTGCATGTCGTAACTTAAAAGTAGGCAGTTTTGAACCCCACGCCAAGCAGGTTATCTGTCAGTGTACTGTCAGAAACGACGTTAGGACTTTAATGAAGACTGTGTTTAAAATATATTGATATTCAATATTATGTTAATATTAATATTATTCACAATTTTACTAATTCTGGACCATATACTGCGCGGTATTACTTTGTACTTGTTTGGCCTCAATCAGCAATGTCACTTCGTGGCAATGTAGGTAGCACGAGCAGTTCGTTACTAGCCGTCTTGTGCATGAGACTTCTTGCAGTGGTTCAGTGTAATTGTAACAGATCATCATCACCGCCGGTGTCGTACTTATTACCATTTTTGTATTAAAGGCAAGTTATGCCCAGTTTTGCTCTAACTGTTCCGAGAATTGGTAGTGAGGAATGTTGATAAGGCTACCGGAACTTTAGTCCATTCTATGACGGCCGGCTTGTAAATTTATCTCCATTTTTGGGATGACATATCTGTGTGAACAAACTTTTTCCCAGATGAAGTACATCAAGTCGAAATACAGGGCAAATTTATCCGATGAACATTTAAAGTCGCTACTTTTGATTAGCGTTTTCAAAATTTGAACCTCAATTTAATCAGAGTTTAAGAATGCAAAAAGAGTTCCATCATTCACATTAATTGTTTTATTATAATTTGTAATGAATATATGAGCATTTGCTGCTACTGTCTGTTGTCATTAATATACGATAATTTATTCCCACGTACTTTGTGTTTAGTTTATGAAATTCTGTGCTTTCAATAAAACTCATATACCTAAGAGTTATTAATTTCTCATTTTATCCGGCCCATTGAAAGTGCTGAATTACCTAATGTGGCCTGCATTTTGAAAAGTTTGGAGACCCCTGACATAGATAATTAATAGAGTTCCTGCCTCTTAGGAAGTCAGAAGGTTTATATGTATTTCTCATCTCTCCCATGCCTGCTACATGACCACCTATTCCCTTTTTCTAATAACATCTTGCAAGTAAAGCATTCCACATTCTCAGTGTCAATATTTACTACCATAGTCGATAAGTTCGTGGACTGTGTCGTTGCAGAGCACTACAGTGGATAGGATGAGGCACGGTATGATGCCCTGTTAGTTCATCTCTCGTCACAGCAAGAGGCAGTTTTGTGCAAACAGTGTAAGCAGAACTACAGCCTCTATTGTGAACTGCAGTTAAATGCAAGTGGTGGAAATCGAAAATGTGGCAGTTTGAACAACAGTCAAACATCAAGTTCTGCCAAAAAATAGTTAAATCCTGTACTGAAACGTTTGGCGTAGGAAGAAGTGGCTGTTGCTACGTGACAACGCCCTTGCACATCGCAGTGTTCTTGTCCAAGAGGAACTGGCAAGGCAACAGGTCAACATTTTGCCACACCGTCCGTACTCACCTGATCTCATACCGTGCGATTTTTTTCTCTTCCACCACTTGGAAGTAAAGCTACGTGGTCGTAGATTTCAGTTGTCCGAGGAGGTCTTCAATGCCAAAAGAGACGCTGTATGGGAATTTCCTGCCAATATGTTTCAGCAGTGTTTTCAGCAGCTATATCAAGGTTGGCAGACTTGTATAGTGGCCAACGGCAACTATTCTGGGGGCCGATGTGGATCTTTGTAAGTGTACGTGAATACCTTGTAATATGATGCAATAAAACCACAGTCCACAAACTTAATGACTGTACCACGTATTTATTCGTGCTTTATATACAACGATACGCTATACGATTTCAAATCCTTGAGATGAACAGGCTGTCTTAGCATAAGCTAAGATAGAGAGATAACAGATAGAGATGCGCAGTGTGCATGTGGGAGACTAGGAACGACTGTAGGAAAGAGGCCACTAGGAAGATCTAGACATAGGTGGGAGGATAGTGAAATGGATCTTAGGAGAAATAGGATGAGTTAGTATGGACTGGACTCATCTGGCTCAGGATAGGGAGCAGTGATGGGCTCTTGTGAACACATTAATGGACCTTCAGATTCCATAAAATGTCAGGAAATTCTTGAGTAGCTGAGTGGCTGGGAGCTTCTCAAGGACTCAGCTCCATGCAGTTAGTTATGAATAACAAATATGAGAACCTGAAGAGTGCTCTGGTAACAATATGTATACAGAGTAAAAATCAATGCAAACAGACTCACCCTTTGTAACACAATTACAGAAACCTCTACTTACTGAAAACAGCTAACACCTTTGCAAACAGAATAAGTACAACTATTACACCACAAATCAATCAGACCTTGCTAAAGGTAACAAACAAGTGTGGAATTCTCTCTAACAGAGTTTCATCAGGACACAGATGGTGGCAGCAAGTATGTTCATCACAGACACACATTCATACAGAACCCTTCCTGTTGTAGAATATGACTGAGGCTTGCCACATGCTGCCTAACCTCCTGGGGTTATAAAGGCTCATGTGCCTAGCAAAGCTGACTCAGGATTTGAGGTGCACAGTCAAAATGTTCTAGAATAAACAGCAGCTTATAACTGACAAAATGGAAGAGGTGAAGATAACTTCAACATATACACCAAAAACAACAGTATTCCACAAATGTGCAACAACCAGTAATAAACATACTGCCAGAAAACATGTTACACAGTCCCATTAAACATAAAAACAATTCCCTATGGAAAAATACAGCAAACTGGTCTTGAAATAAAACAGGCATCCCTTGTTACAAACCATATGATCTTACTACCTTGTGCATCTGATAGAACTGCACAGTTACTGCCAAATTCTATCCTCACAGCAAGAGCTCTCTCCAATCATGGCAACTCTGGATGCACCAAAACGAAACATAATTTCCAGTGCAACATGGTATGATATGCCAGCACCAACTAATGCACCAAACTGGAAATTAACAGTCAGAAAGATTACTTGAACATAGGGATATACTTTATTTCAGAAATGACATGTATCGTATCCATGGGAAGGAACAGGTGGTGATGACATACAAGAAAGACAGTAAAAACTACTAGATGAGCTGGCGAGGACAGAGAGACAATAATGTGGAGAATTGCTCACTTGTCTCACACCTTCATTACAAGTCTGCACTATCCCCATGATGGTAATACTGATGGCAAGAAATTAAGGTGGGGAGTGGGACAGCTTCTAGTGCCATGATGTAAACTTCAGGCTGCACTGAAATCCATCACTTGGTTCCAATGTCATTAAGGGGAAGCACTCAGTGGCATGATGATATCACAAGCCCATCTTTCCTTAGAATTTAAGGAAAAGAAATGCAGGCTTGTATGAAAATGCACACTGTGTTCCCTTGCACCAACATGCTTGGCAAATTTTCATTGGAATCAGCACAAAAGCTTCATGTCACTGCAAACTTAACACCATACCTATTAAGGTGTTTTTTCAACAATTTCAACATGGTATTAATGCAAATATCTGTTGGAATAACGCAACCAAGCTACTGAAGTAAAAAAAAAAAGTAATGCTATCCCTGTAACAGGCCATGAAGGCCCATAGAGTTGTGAGACATTGAGGGTCCCACATTATCTAGACAATCGGCCCAAAGATGGCGGTGAGATTGTCAGCCTTATGCGCCAGCTGTGCTTTACTCCCCAGGAAAATCATTTAATTAATCCTAGTACTCATTTCTATTAGAGCCTGAGTCAACCCCAGGGCCATAGTGCGGCCGGAAGAACCAAGCTACTAGAGAAGAAATTATTGAACTCAAAATATACAAAATTCTTCATAGTGCCTGCAAAGTATTCTGCACACTCAGGTTTCCATCATCACATTCTTGCAATTAACCAACTAAAATCAAATTAATAATTTTGTCAATTTTTTCCACATTAAAGGTAAAAGGCAAGTAAAATTATGGTTTTCTGTTTGCAAGAGTGAGTAAAACTTGGTCTGTGATCTTACAAGAAGAATGTCAAGTGAGGAGAAGAAAGGACAAGAAAATGTTGTAATGTAGAACTTCACAATACACTTGAATTCTGATTCAGTGTTCCTGCAGTAGTAGGCAAATAATTTTTTTTTCTGTCCCCAGCTAAAGATACTGCATTATATTCCAGAATTTAGTCAATTTTGATTCAGTAAATAAATAACCTTCATTTTCAATCTTCCAGAACTCGTGTCCCCATTCAGCGTGATTACAGCTGATACAACAGTCAATATTTACATCTACGTTTTGCTGGAAATTACCATCACATATTGAACACACACCAAAAGAGCACATTACTTGTGGCATTTTGTCCTGATTCTTGCTTTCAGTGCAATTAATTTATAAATGGTAAATCTTGTACTGTGAAAGGAAAGCCATTTTCCCAGAGGATCATTATCCAGGGACTTAAAGGCAGGGACTTAAATAACCCATCCTAGAGATGGGGACTGATAAAATGATACTGAGACATGTCTGTGACAAACCTTCCACAGTCAGATTCCCTGACAAAAGCAAATGGAAAGACGTGTTTAAACCCATTATGAAAGGGGGACTAATCTGGTATGCAGATAGTTCCAAGACAAATAAAGGCACTGGGTATGGAGTGTATGATTACGGTACAAGGCATAAGCTTAGCTTCAGTCTTAGGAAATACACAATATTCCAGGCAGACGTGTATGCCATCAAGATATGCACAGTTGAGAATCTAGATAGGGATTATAAAAACAGAAACATCTATCTTCTCCTGGACAGTCATTCTGCAATTAAAGCAACTGATAATTACCAGATCAACACCAAACTGGTTTGGGACTGCCATCAATCCCTTACGCAACTGACATGCGTGCTGAGGCATAAGTAACAAAACTGCCAATCTGAATCTCCACTCACAGGACCCAAACCAGCTTGCAGCATTTCAGCAGAAATTGCCAAGGTTGTCAGGGACTGGACAAACAGAGGCCATACAAAACACAAGGAGTCCTTAACAGGACTCAAATAGGCAACAGGTTTACTACAAGAACCCTCTGTCAGAAGACCCAAGGAACTGCTAAAACTAAACAGAAACCAGTTATGGTGGGTGACAGGGATATACACAGGCCCTGAGGCTGGCAGAAGAGTTGGCACCAACCTGTGGGCCTACCTGCTATAAGTGCTGGCAGTGCATAGCACATTGCCTTCAAGATAGACACAGGAAGGATCTCTAAAATGTCAACTATGCAGAAAAAATCTACATCATTCAGGTGACATGCAACATACCTTCCATACAGCAGCTCCCACTGTTGGTCCACTCAGAAGTAGCCCAAGCAGTAGACTGGATTGGGGTGAAGTTCACTGTGTACTCCTTCCTCAGTCTGAGGTTGACAGAACTCCTCAAGACTGGTGAGCCCTAGGATTTGGTGGGCACTCTTCACTCAGCCAAACACCAACAATATTCTGCAACATTTGTAACACCAAATCCTTCACTGATGTCTCTTCACGACTGTCAAGGGACAGTAACAATGAAGCAGAGCATACGCACTTGCTAGTGACAACTGAGCCCCGTATATGTTACTGTGAATGTCTGAAACAATAATCACCTGTGATTACTGACATACAGTAAGAAAAGTGGGGAAGTTCAGAATGTGTTGACAACTTTTATGATTTTAAGAGTCACCAGTTAATGTCAACAGTGCACCCTGTGACCACTGACGTGTTAGTACACAGCCAAAGGGACATAGAGATGTAACACAACTGTCAACATTTGCAGTAGCATGTGCATGAGCCAACTGTAAAATTTAAATGTTCTATGTGAAGTGCATCACTTCATGCATATCTAAAGTTAGGATTAATGATGATAAACCTCAACTGGGAGAAGCTTATATTGGAAAGGAAAGTATGACCACCCCATACACAACAGAAAGGAGAACATGTGAGTACCAGATCCTGCCCCTGTTGGGAGTTAAACCCCTGCTGCCCAGCCCATAGCCAGCCACTTTGCTGCCTGAGCTTTCCACAAGCATTACCGTGTAACCACTGTCTGAAATTCTGTCAGTTTCCTCTACTATAGTGTTAGTACCCCCCAATTTTAGTGGCCACAGAAAACCTGAATTAGAATCTCACTTTACTCTTATTCTTCTGTGGATCTGTAACAGTAACGCCCATGTCAGTCACATATCTGTATACATGTATATAAATGGAAGGCAGAAGCAGCTCTGGTAATCTCATGTGCATTCAGGATAGGAACAGGAATTTTAAACGATTCTTGTTTCCAGTATTATGTGGTGCAATGCCAAAAACTTGTGATTCTGATATGTACAGTTAGTTACATGACAACTGTAGGGCAAGAAATAAGGCCACACATAAAGCGAGGATCAATGTTAACAACAGTTCTCCAAACAGCCAAAGTGACAGAACAAACCAGTAGTTCTCAATCTACTGGTGCTCTTTGCTTGCTTCGGATATTTGTCCTCTTTCAAATTGCAATTAGAACAGAATATTAAAATTTATAAGAAATGTACATTAAATTTTTACACATTTACTCATGTAATATCCCCCCCTTTTCATATTTTTGAACCCCTGAATGTGGTAAAAGGGAAATATTATGTAAATTCTACGGTTAACCTAGAACAAAAGTACTTTCTTGCATACATATAATCAGGATCATTTTATATGGGTATCTGTATACAGTGAAACTCCTATTTATTAAAAGTTTCTTCTGGGTCCTGCAGATTAGGACACTAAGTATTGACATCTGCACAGGAGGTACCTAAACACTGAGATTAATAACTTGAGATCACTGAAACTGAACATCAAATGAGAAAACACCTAAACTGAGAAACGTT